ACTTTTTACATCTCGTCCGGCGTTTATTGAAATCGAAGTTAACGAGGACAACACGGTGCCTGGTTAGTGTTGATCTTCCGGTAGAATTTATGGGACTTTGGTGTGTATCTGCTTGATGATGCTATTGTGCCGTGTGAGTCTAAAGGATAATGTTATAGTCTTGCATTAATTATAGAATGTATTGGAGATATCGTCAAATAGAGAGAGATGAGAGAATTTAATGTTTTATTTCGAGATCGTGTAATTTCTTTGTAAAAATATATTTGTAGAAAATTTCTATGCGAGTGTTTGAACACATTGCGTGATCAACTGTTTCCCTACACATAGAGCAATATATCTTGAAAATATTAATAAGAACTACAGTACATTCACGAGCCGCTACGTGTCCAAAGACCAACAGACTGTATCACAATGCGAAACAATACATTTCATTCTTCAACGACTTCAGTTTGTCAGACCAAAATCGGCCGGTTGAAAGAAAGGAAGGGAACCAGAGTGAAAGCAGTTTCTCGACGGTAATCGTCCGGGCCAAGAGGTCACCGGAAGAATATCGATGGCACGTAACAATACCACAAAGAGCCCCGGTATAAATTATAACGGCATTCCAGGGGCACTGGAATGGCTACTTAGCCGGCCCATTCACCGCGTAAAATCGAAAGCCCTGGCCCGGGTCGGAAACGTCTTCATTTTTCATGGCAACGGGGTTGCGACGCCGCGGTTTTCCCCGCGGGGCATTTGCTCGCTCTTCATTACCCCGGCGCGCAAAAGAGAGAATATAAAAATCCCCCGACGTATTCGATCAGCCGTGAACAAATTACTATATAATTTTCCCGGCGGCGCGATTATTCACGTTAATGGTGGCAATAATTCATAGGAACGCGTTTGCAGCCCGGGTCCACCAACCGAGAGGCCCGCGGAATGTCTTCGAAGATCGGATCCACGCGAGAGGATGGAAACGCTTGTTGAAAGATTTGCGCGAGCCTCTCGATTCGTTTTAAATGGAAAACCATGCTGCTGGCAGCCCGGAAATTCGTGGCCGATTTTCCGTCAACGGGACGAATTCCTCTATTAATAGAAAATGAAAACCATTGAGTTTGGTTGATTCTTCCAGATGAAGTTTACTAACGAGATCAAAGTTCTCGGCAGTGAGATTATGCGGGTCTCTTTTTCCTTTTTTCTTTTTTTTTTTAATTTCATGATAGAGTTATAAAAGAAAAAGAGCTATTTTTTTTTAATGAATTGCAAATATGTTGTTTTATTTGAATTGGTCTTTTTATGTGGCGGATGAAAAAGCGCATCGTGAAAGAGAAACGTGTCAGAAAATGTTAATAAATTAATATCTTTAAGCAATTGAACTCGATTAGTTTCATCTAAGAAAAAAAAATACTTGTGCAAAAAATTGTGCCCGATTTCTTTTCAGCAATCCATCATATGAGCTTGAAGTTTGCAAATAAATTTGCCTTCGTTATACTCGTGCCACCCTTTATAATATCTCAATATTACAAAGCACAGATGTAAAGAGAGCTGAACACAGAATTTCTAGTCTAAAACCTCGTTAAAAATACTTGTCTTAATTTAACGAACGGAATTACTTTCAACCTAACTTAACCACCTAACCACCGTAACCACAATGAATCCTTGAGAGACCGCGACCGAACGAGTCCTCCACTTCCGGGTCTCATTGTTTCCTACAAAAATCAACATGATGGCCGAAGAACCGGAAAGAGGTGTCCACGGTGTAGAAATTTTACGAGACGGTCTTCGCGCCGGTCGTTCGTAAATTTTACGGTGGCCGTGGCGGCTTGTGGTGTATTTATGCGAGGCGATGGCTGTAAATTTCCGCGGCGCGGTAAAACACGCCGGGGACACACGCGTGCGTCGGCGAATAATTCATTCGCCCGAGCTCTGGCCCGCGGGCTAATTGAACGCCTATGAGACGAATTAATAATCGACTTTGTAGAAAGAGCTGCACAACCGTGAGATTTACCGCGATCCAACATACCGTGATCAAGCGTTCACGGAAATGCGATGTATAATTCTGATCGTGCGCGAACAAGCGCGGATGAATCCCGTGGATTTTGTCGACTCGGTTATCAACGTGATCGTCGTTTAATAAATCAGCGTGGCATACGGCGAGTTTTAATTTCTAATCAACGAACGGAAATAATTTCGATTCTTTTAATTTTCAATTAATGTAGGAAATGCACGCATTGTGCAGTACAATATTCGCAAAACTACACAACTCAGAACTATACAGTGATACTTTTCACCGATGATTTTCAAAAACTTTCTTTCTCGTATCTCACGTTCCCTTTTAATACCCTCAAGAAATTTTCCCCAACATCTGAATTTGAACTTCTTTCGCCGAACCTGACCGCTACAACTCGCTTCATCTGGATCTGTCACTTACAGTTAAACTGCAGACTAATCTTATAACTAAAACTAAAACCTTATAATTAAGAGTAAACAACTAATTTCCATTACTACTTAAGAGACAATTTTAATCCTTAATTAACAAATTATATCATAGTAATAATATTTCAATTTGATCGAGACATTTGTACAAATTAACAAATAGTTAATAATGAATTGGAAGCAACACTTTTTATTGAATCGTAACAAGCTATTTAATTTATTTAATACTGAATAATGATCATATACTGTCTTATTATATGAATTATCGAAACTAATCAATAACATTCAGGCATATTAAAGTGTTCAATTAACGATTTAATTGTCACAAGTAAATCGTTGAACAAATTAAACTGCTCCGAAATATCACAGAAATGAATTAATTGAGCTAACTGATAATCTGTAACAACAATTAATATTGATTAATCTTCTGTAAATAGAGAGGATTAATATTACTATTTGATGTTTCTTCGATAAATCTCAGACAACAGACGACCGAGGTCGTTCATTCACGAAGTCTACAAATTTTTTTTTTTTTTTTTTAACAGCCTAACGAACGAAATATATTTCAACCGATGAAATCACACGAATTACAAATTGCTGCAATCAAGTTAACAATCGAGCTGGTTTTACCGAGGTACGAAATTATACGAACAACGGCTTTAACGAGCCTCCTATTTCAATTTCTGAATAGTTCACGCGTGTAAACTCGCTTCTAACACATCCTTTGATTATTCACGAGCCAGTCATTCTATTTATCTCTTGTATAAGGGAAGTGCACTTCTGTAACGCAAACTAGCCCCTTGAATAGTGCTCATTTCCTGTGCATCCGCGTCTATTTACATTCATGTTAGAAGCACACGTGATGCTCGTTTCGAGCTACTTATACCAACCAGTTAACACGACATGTTTTCCTCTTCAACGAGAGAAAAAAGAAAGAAAAGGAAGAAGAAAATATCGAAAGGTACAAGTGCAAAAATTGAACGTTAAGAACTTTCCTTTACAGTGTCCAAGCTCGTACCAACATGAACGAATGAATTGAACATCTTCCTTCCGCTAATTTCTTTACAGGACAGCAGTGTGAATCGTTGAATTTATAAACCGAAAAGAAAAGTATAAAGTAGAATAGAATTATCCACGTTAATTAAATTGAGTTAATTGTATTATGCAGGCAGTACAGTTGAAGAATTAATCTGTAACAACTTTGTAGACAAACAAATAAATAAAAAAGTTCAAACAGTCCGCGGGTTTTTAAATGATCAAAGAAAATTCTTAAGTCCCGACGGACCAGACTAAAATTCGTTTCTTTCGATTGAAGGAACATGGCTGTTCGGTGCAGACGGTGGACCTGGTGGCGGACTGTCCTTTGCAGGTAGTGACACCGTCGTCGAGGTCGCCGTCACCACCCAGATCGCCGACGCCCGCGACGCCCTTGACGCCCCTCGCACCGCCGAGGAGCATGGGTCAACGGCCAAGCACCCTGCTGCGCCCCAAAATCTCTTTGACCTGGGTCTTACGCGGGCAACAGCAACCTGCGTCCAACAACAATCACTCTACCGCCAATGGGAACGCAGGTCCGTGAAGAATAAGGGTGTCCAATAAGGGTGAAAGGATATTATC